GGCTCCAGTGCATGCCCGCGCCCCCTCCGTTTTCCCCCGCCCCTCCGCCCCCCCCCCCCCCCCCACCCCCCCCCCCCGGGCCACCCCCCCCCCCCCCCCCCCACCCCCCCACCCCCCCACCCCCCCCCCCCCCACAACCCCCCCACCCCCCCACCCCCCCCCCCACCCCACCCCCCCCACACCATAACCCCGTATTTCCCATACCCAGCCTTTTGCCAGTTGCTCCACCCGCCCCCACCCCACCCCCTCACGGACAAGGCAATGATTTAAAGGGTTCCAGCACGTTGATGCCAATTTCTTCCGCCCACCCCTCCGTTTCCCCCCTTCCCCCGCCCGCTCCGCCCCCCCCCCACCCCCCCCCAGCCACACCCCCCCCCCCCCCCAGCCGCCCCCCACCCACCCCCCCCCACCCCCCCCACCCCCAACCCCCCCCCACCCCCCCCACCCCCGCCACCCCCCCCCCCCACACCCCCCAGAAACCCAACCCCCACCCCCACCCCCCCCCAAACCCCCCCCACCCCAACCCAACCCCCCCACCACCCCCACCGCCCCCCCCCACCCCCCCACCCCCCCCCACCCCCCCCCACCCCCCCCCCACCCCCCCCCACCCCCCCCCCACACCCCCCCCCCCCCCCCCACCCCCCTGCCCCGCCCCAGCCTTTCCCACAACCCTCAAGCTGAGTTTTGGGCTCAGTGCAATGCCTGCTGGCCCTCTGACCCCATGGCTTCAACTTCCATGGTTGAGTTTTAACGGTTTCCGCCCGACCGCCCCCATGGCCGATGGCTTCACGGCCCCAGCGGCCCAGCGCCACCGCCCACGTGTCCCAGTCTCTCCGCCCACTCCGGCCGGTCGCCGTAACCCCAGCGCTGGGCCGACGCCAGGTCCATGGCCCCAGCCTTCACCATGCCCAAGCTGACACCTCCATGGCATCTACAAACTTCATGACTTCATGGGCCCAGCGAGTTTTAAGCGCTTCCCCACTCCGAGCTGGCCCCCATGGCTTCATGGCCCCAGCGCCCCGGGGCCCTACCCCCATGGTCCCATGGTTCAGCCTTCCAGGCCCCAAGCTGAGTTTAAAGGGCTCCAGTGCCATTTTCCTCCACTCCCCCCACCCTCTCTGCCCACTCCGACTGCTACCCATGGCCCTCTGGCCCCATGGCTTCATGGCCCCAGCGGCCCCAGGCCCTAAGCTGAGTTTTAAGGGCTCCAGCGCATGCCCCGCTTCCTCCACTTTCCGGGTTCCATGGCCTTCTGGCCCACGGCTGGGGCTCACCCATGGTTCAGCCTTCGGCCCCAGCGGCCCAGGGCCTACCCCCAGGTCCAGCCCCGGCCTTCACCATACCCAAGCTGAGTTTTAGGGCTCACCCCCATTCTAACATGGCCCGCCTTCTGCCATAGACCCTAAGTTGCTCCACCCCGCCCGCCCCAGCGCCCCTTCAGGGCCCTACCCCCATGGTCCCATGGCCCAGCCTTCTACCATCGGCCCTAAGCTGAGTCCGCCCACTCCCACTGCTCCCCATGGCCCTCTGGCCCCAGCGGCCCTAGGCCCTAAGCTGAGTTTTAAGGGCTCCAGCGCATTCCCGCTTCCTCCACTCCCCCGCCCCATGGCTACTCCCATGGTCTTCTGCCATAGGCCCTAAGTTGTTCATGGCCCCAGCGCCCCAGGGCCCTACCCCCAGGGTCCCATGGCCCCAGCCTTCTACCATAGGCCCTAAGCTGAATTTTCAGGGCTCCAGTGCATGCCCGCTTCCTCCACTCCCCCCGCCCTCTCCGCCCTCTCCGACCCCATGGCTTCATGGCCCCAGCGGCCCAGGGCCCTACCCCCATGGTCCCATGGTCCAGCCTTCTACCATTGAACTGAGTTTTAAGGGCTCCAGTGCATGCCAGCTTCCTCCACTCCCCCCGACCGCTCGGCCTTCCCCTATGGTGCCAAGGGCTCCAGTGCATGCCCGCTTCCTCTCCCCCCGCCCTCTCCGCCCACTCCGACCGCTCCCCATCATGGCCCTGGCCCCATGCTTCATGGTTTCAGCGGCCCTAGGTAAGCTGAGTTTTAAGCCGGGACCACTCCCCCCCGCAATCCCCCGCCCCACCCGCCCATATGCCCCCCCCTCCACCTGCCTTCCGCCCCCCCACCCACACACCCCCCACCCCCCCCACCCCACCCCCCCACCCCCCACCCCCCCTCCTGTCGGGGTTGAGCCGGACAGAGCGTGCTTCAATTCTTAGGATGGGGTCGGCGGCATTGGCGGTAGCCATTAAATCGGGCAGCGCGAGGTCCCCAAAGGACCGAGCAAATGCGGACCTTTTAGCCCGGGTCGTCCCGGGAATAGCCTTGCTGGCCTCTGGCCTTCTGCGAAGCAGAATTAGGCCGGACGCCAGTGCCGCCGACCCCCGCGTGCCGCCGGTGAACGGTTTTTTTTTCGTGGTTTTTTGCGTCGCCACGGAGGCCCCCAGAGGGCGCGCATCATGAGCATCAGCGGGTCAAGCCCGGGACCCCCAGGCGCGCATCAGGAGCATCAGCGGCTCCCGGGGCGGGACCGCGGGGGGGCATCAGGAGCATGTGATGCCCCCCAAAGGGCGGGCATAAGCGACGTGTCTAAGCCCGGGGCTAGGAAAAAGGGAGTTTAGGGGCCTTATAAAGTGCTTAGAAACGTTAAGGGAGTCTCGGAGCCTCAAACGCTTAGAGATTTGAAGGGAGTTTAGGGGCCTGAAAATGCTTAGAAACTTAACGCTTAGAGATTTTAAGGGAGTTTAGGGGCCTCGACATGCTTAGAAACTGCTCGCCCCGGGCTTCTGCGTGCGCTGCCCGCCCATGGGCGCAGCCCCTTAAAATAATGATAAATACAAAAGGTGCAAAGGGCACCACTGGGCTACCAAGGTAACACAAAGCCCCCCAATCCGAAGTGCTGAAGCGGCGCGCCTCGGCTGGGCGACATCGCAGGTTGCGCTCCGGGCTTCTTGCCGGGACTTCTGGACCTCAGAGGCTTCAGTGGGGGGAGCCGTGAATGCATGCCCAGAGGCCCCAACGTGGTTCGCTTCAGTTTCTAGAAAAGCGTGCCTTGGATCATTCTTCTGCCCTTGGCGACTCTTCTTCCAATCACAATGGAAACGGATATGGGTTTAGGGTTTTTGGGGTTTAGGTCTTTGTTTGGCCGCCCACCTAGCTGAACTGTGCGTCCACGTTGCTTGGATTTGGCTGTTATGGCTGTTAATCCGTGAAACTTTCGTTTAGGCATCTGCCTTGTAACTTTGTGGGCAGTTTTTTTTTTTTTGCTCCCGCATAGCTGGCCGAACCGCAACCAGGGTTTATGGGCAGGATTTAGGGTTTTGGCCCCCAGGAAGCAACTAGCAAGCTTAAAACATTGCTGCAGTTCAGGCCCAACCCTAGAGACAATTTAACTCAACTCGTGGCCCTAGAAGCCCCTACTGGGAAAACGCCGAAGACGCACTGCGCTTCACCTTCTGAACCCTCAGCTCCTAGTAAGAATACAGTAGCTGTAACAAAAACATAACGACCACAATAAAATGAATAATAATAGTAACAAAAAATGGTAATAATAATGACGACCACAAAAAATCTACTACAGAGCTAAGGCTTGCGCCTTGCCGGCGACTTGTGCTTTGCGGAGCGCGAGCGGCTCCTGCCAGTCTCTCGAAATCTATGGCCAAGAGGCTGCGCAGGGCACCTCGAAACCTGAACACCCTAAACCCTAAACCCTAAACTCTAAACCCTAAACCATATTCCAGGTCTGACAGATCAACAGAAGGAAGATCGGATCTGACAACTTGTTTTTTGTAGAAGAGTCCGTGGGCCCCTGTCAGCATGGCACGCCCGACATCCACCTCAACCGCAGGAAAGTAATGTAGACCAGGAAGGAGCCCAAAGACCCGCCCCTCCTCTTCCTCTTCTTGGATGGCTTCGCGACCTTTTCAAGGATGGGCCGGCATCCAGAAAAGTCTGTTGGAGAGGATTTCGACGTTTGGCTTCGGGGTGTTGGTTGGCATCTATCTAGTTTCACACAAGAACTCGTCTGAAGGTTAAGTCTATAGGGAATCATAAGTAGGTGATACATGCATGGGGTTTCTCGCCTCCCCTGTTGTGATTTGCTCGACTTCCGTGTATCACAAAAACACCATGGCAGTAGAGCCTCGTCAGATCTCGTCAGTGAGGCATCTACGTCTCTGTCCAGGCCGGGCACAAACACTCTGCATACACCCGTCATCACCCGTCCGTACAAGGACATATGTAATGCCATGGTAATACCTGTGAAACTCCCGGACTTCGAGCTCGGTCTAGATTGGCACCACTGGCACCCGCGGCCGAGACGGGTGCCTCGTAGCGATCACAACTCTTTTTTGGAAAGATGCGTTGTTGACCTGCCAAGTATGCTGCTTCTGTACCATTCCGCCATCTGCATTTGCAGGATGGCCCAGCATGTCATGTGCCACATGAAAGCCGAGCAAACTGTTGGAACTGGTGTTGACTAGGACCAGGATAGTGACTGCATGTAAACCTATGAGCCGCAAGGAGCACCCTGTCTCCTGGCCATGTAGCAGTAATTTAGCGCAGCTGTCAGCTCAGCCATAGTGGGTTGAAACGGCCACCAGCCATGCCTCTAAAAGGCCAGCTTTGAGGCCAGCTTGTATTCGGTGAAAGCGCATGCATTGCAGGAAGCAGGTTATACATTAGATCACGCAGCTCCACATGTACTTGCATGTCCCTATAGCACTTTCTACTGCGCCCAAGCACAATATAACAAAGACAATTACAAGCATAAAGCCGCCGCCTTCGGTTTAACTTCCTGGTGATGCTTCTTCCAAGCGCGCATCGTGGCCATTCCGGGGCCCTTCTTTGGATGCGCTGCAGCAATGGCATGCTGCAAAGGGTTCGTGCTCAACACCAAAGCATGTTGGAGATATTCTCCAGCTGCTGCACGTCACAGCGATACGAAACCCGACAGCAGATGCCGCGCTGCAATGAAACCTTTTCTTGCACCGC